AGAAAATATATCATATTTTTCATATCAGTCATCTCAAACTCATTCATCAACACCTCTTTGAACTTGATTATACTTTTTGGACAGCTTCCCGTTAGCAATATGTCATCAACATAAAGACATACCAGAATCATATTGCTTCCAGAATACTGCACATATACTCCATATTCCATCTCACACTTCTGAAACTCTTGCTTCTTGAAAAATGAATCAGTCTTCAAATTTCAAGCTTTGGGCGCTTGCTTCAATCCGTACAAAGCATTATGTAACTTGTACACCATCCCTTCCTGATTCTTTTTCAATAAACCAGTAGATTATGACACATATACATCTTCTTGTAATGGACCATTCAGAAATGCATACTTCACATCCAGGTGCATCAGAGGTCAATTTCTATTTGCAGCTAAAGCAATCATTAATCTGATTATTTCATGTCTAGCTACAGGCGCAAACACCTCAAAGTAATCTAGCCCATGTTTCTGAAGAAAACCTCTAGCCACTAGTCTTGCTTTGTGCTTGCCAATTGATCCATCTGGCTTATATTTGACCTTAAAATTTCATATGACGTTGATGGCTTTCTTCTTATTTGGAAGCTTAGTCAACTTCCAAGTCTTGTTTCTTTCTATAGCCTCAAGTTCTTCTTTCATGGCATTCAGTCATACTTTCTTCTTGAGAGCTTCTTCAATACTCACAAGTTCATAGTCTACTAACATGGCATATTGAACAATTTCTCCTTGTGAATCTACTTCAGTGTCTTGCAACATGTCAAACTCTGCAAACCTTCTTGGTATTTGTCTAATTCTTTGTGGCCTCTCAACTTGTTCAGAAACTCTTTCTGGTTCTGGAACAGTATCAGATACTTGACCACCTTCAGAAGTTGGATCACCTTCAGAACCTCTACCTTCTGAAGTTCCACCTTCAGAATCATGACCTTCACCAAAAACATGATCATCTTCAGAGTTTTCCCTTCCAGAAGCATGACCACCAGCAGACTCTAGATCATTATTAAAATCTGGATCAGAATCAAATTCACCATCTGACTCATCTTCAGATTTTCTAGAATCATCATCTGACTCTGACTCTTCTTCAGAACTGTCAAGTTATGGCTTATCTTTAGAAATAGATTGAGACTTACTCCAATCTCATACTTCTGATTCTTTTTTATCTTACCAAATCAGAAGTGGATCGTCACGGCTAGCTCGGGCAGAAGTTGAATGAGATGGGGGGTACCTGCAAGACACTCCGATGGCAAAGTAAGTTGCGGAATAAGCAAGCAAGTATGAGTTCAGAGAAAAATGTTGAATACCTGACCCTCTCGGAAGAGAGGGTATTTATAGCCCTCAGCGCTGGGTCAAGGTCTCTTTACTGGGTTGATCAAACATGCCCAACATAGAGACTGCCAGATTTTACGTGAGTAGTGGGGACTCGCATGTGGCTCCCTACCTGGATGACGCCCTCTGCAAGATCAGGATGATATGGACGCGATCTTTCCGGGACCACGAAGACTCCGCAATATCCGGAGACGTTGGTAGTCAGCCCTACAAGGAAGATGCTCGGGAGGAGCGCCTGCTCGTCAAGGATGGTCCCCGCGAGCACAAAAGGGAAACAGCCTTGGTCGACAAGGCCTTTATGGTCGGGGTATGCTCGAGAATAATATCGGTTAGCGGTGCAGGTTGGCACGCTTGGATTGGGCCTCACTGGGAGTTGGGCCAAGGGCAGGCCCAGTCCAGAACACTTTTACAATGACGTCTCTACTGACTTGAACTTTATTAGTTTCTGGACAATAAAGCTTGTATGCACATGTACTGTCATACCCCACCAGAATCATCACTTTGCTTCTATCATTCAGCTTCTTTCTCCTAGTTTCTGGAACGTGTTTGTAACATACAGAATCAAACATCTTCAGATGGCTAACACTTTTCTTGTCTCCAGTCCACTTTTCTAAAGGAACAATTTCCTTCAGCTTCTTCGTTGGACACTTGTTGAGCACATACGCTGAAGTAGCTACAACTTCTCCCCACAAGTTATGAGGTATCTTCTTCTCTTTCAGCATGCTTCTGGTCGTATCAAGCAAAGTACGATTTCTTATTTCAGCAAGACCATTGTGTTGAAGAGTATAAGGAGCATTAACCTCATGCTCAATTCCATTCTCATCACAGAACTTCTAGAATTCTGTAGAGATACTCACCTCCACCATCCGTTCTGAGAATATTTAACTTCTGACCACTTTGTTTCTCAGCCTTCACCTTGAACTTCTGGAACTCGGTAAACACCTCATGCTTAAACTTGATGAGTGTCACTCACGTCATTATTATGAACTCATCCACAAAAGACACAAAGTGTCTATTTCCTCCAAATGAAGGTTCTGGAAATGGTCCAAACATGTTAAAATACACTACTCCTAAAGCATGTTTTGCTCTTGGGGCTACTTCTAACACAAATAGAAATTTGGGTTCTTGCCTTTCATGCATACCTCACATGACTTCTTAGGCTTCACAATATTCGAAATGCCACGCACGAGCTTCTTAGAACTCAGATGCCCTAAACTTTTGTAGTTCAGATGCCCCAACCTCTTGTGCCACAGCTTACTATTACCTTCAGCGCCTTCTGCACTAAGACACTCTGTTTCAGCTGTTTCTACATTCACCTTGAATGTTCTGTTGCTTCCCTGCTCAAATTGCATAATCAGCTTCTGATTGGAATCATACAACTTCAAGAGATTGTCCTTCATAATAACTGAGAAATCTTTCTCAATGAGCTAACCCACACTCATCAGATTGCTCTTAATTTCAGGAACATACTAAACATCCTTGATCAGAACGGTCTTCTCATTCTTCACTTTAACTTTGACATTTCCCATACCTTCTGCATTAAGGTATTTATCATCAGCACATCTGATTTTTGTCCTCCTTCTAGAGTCAAAATCTATCAGCCATTGTTTGTTTCCAGTCAAGTGATTTGAACAGCCAGTGTCCATATATCACCAGTCTGCCAAACACTTTCCATCAGACTCAGAAGCCATCAATAGCACATGTTCATCATCAGAATCTCCTTTGTCTATATTTGCTTCTTTTGATTTTCTTCCCTTATTTGACTAGAAATCTTTAGCAAAGTGGCCAAACTGCTTACAACAGTAACATTGAACCTTCTTCTTGTCAAACTTCTCATTTCTCTTCTGATGTTTCTTCTCATCAGAAGTAGAGGTTTCTGGCTTCTGGAATCTCTCACCACGTCTATTTTTGGTTTCTGACCAAGAATACTTCTGGTCCTTCTTGACAAAAGAAGCCTTCATAGTCTGCTTCACTTTTCTCTCAGAAGTTCTTTCAGTCATACGCAACTCTTGCGCCTCTAGACTGCTTTGCAGCTCTTCTATTCTCATGGTGTCCAGATCTTTAGAATGCTTAATTGCTACAATAATGTAATTAAATTGAGGGGTAAGCGACCTCAATATCTTCTCAATGATTACATGTTTAGAAGGGGTTTCTCCATAAGCTTTCATCTCATTAGTGATCAGAATCACTCTGGAGATATACTCAGAAACCTTCTCATTATTCTTCATGTTGAGATTTTCATATTGCTATCGCAGGAACTGAAGCTTCACCTTCTTCACTAATGTGTCACCACCATAGCATCTGACCAGTGTGTCCCATGTCTCCTTCGCCGTCGTCGAATCAACAATTTTCTCAAACACATTCACATCCACACACTGATGGATGTAGAACAACACCTTCTGATCTTTCTTCCTCTTGTCTCTCTGTTCATTTCTCGTTGTTTCCGTCGCATCTACTGCAACCGGAACATAGCCATTAGTAACAAGCTCGAGAGCATCCTGAGCACCAAATAACATGTGCTTCTGAATCATCCATCTATTTCAGTTCTTGCCATCAAAAACAGGAAGTTTAGTACTCAAATTACCATTTCTGTTCATCTTCAACCTTGTACAGAACACTCGGATCTCACTAAACACAGTGTTTCCCAATCCCTCAGAATAAAAAAAATGTGATTTTGTTCAGATTTTATTCAAGATTCAACACGAATTCAAGAACCAAAGTCAATCACACAACGCCTCACTGTTTCACCCGTGTTTCTCAAAAATCTGAACGGGAGCTGTAGATACCAATTTGTTGGTGAACAAGGTGATGATGAACAAAAGAAATATATTTAAGAGAGCAAAGAGAATGACGGCTGTAAAAGCTGCAAGAGGAATAATATTGTTGTTGTATTTATGACATTTACAACTAGTCTATTTATACACACAAAAAAAAGAATATCACATAGACCCTAATAGAATAGACTTAATAACTAAGTTATCTAAAACAATTAGAAATACTAAAATACCCTTTCATAGAACTTTATAATTTTCGTGATGGAAAAAATTGGTTTTCACGTGAAGTGGAGGAATTAGATTTCAGAATGTTTAACATCAACATCAGTTTTTGTGTTAATTAATGGAAGTCATACTAAGGAGTTTAAGACGAAGGAGATCCTTTCTCATTTTTTATTTTTAGTTGTAGCTGAAGGATTTGACTTATCGATGAAGAAAAGTGTTGACTTGGAAAAGTTTGAGGTTGGGGAGTATCGCTTCTTACCTTCAATTTGCAAAACGACACCGTGATTATAAGTGAGAAGATATTGTAGAGGAAGGGCAGCATCTGTTCTAAATTGTAAAATATGTTCTTTGCCTCTAAATTATCCATTGGAATCGGGTGACTAAAACAGTGAAGTCGAGATTGAATAGATGGAAGAACAAATATTTATCCATTGGAGGTCGTGTTGACATTGGAAGAACAAACATTTGTCCACCTGATAACATATCCATGTGGTTTTTGGATCCTAAGGCATGTATCGGCATCACAAGTGCATGATTTTATTGTCCATGTCGTGCAGATTCACGTCTTGCACGTCTGGTCAGCTATTTGGTGTTCAAGTCTGTTTTGTTGTTAGTCTTGAGCTTTTTCACTTTGTGGTTGCGGAGCATATTTGTGAAATCGTTTCTTTCGACGATGATGCAATATTTGGTGATGAAGTCTGTTTGGTTGTTAGTCTTGAGCTTTTACGCTTTGTGGTTGCGGAGCACATTTGTGGAATCGTTTCTTTTGATGATGCAATGCTTTTTCTGTTTTTACTGTAATGCTGTCATGAGGCAATTGTATTGCCTTGGTAGTTTACTGCTTTTGGGTTCAGGTGTTGGTGCAGTTTGGGGTGGCACGGCTTTTACATCATTGATTTGGCAGGGCAGAAGGAATCCAAGATGGATCAAGGCGGAAATGTATGAGAATGTAAAGTGAATCCTTGGCCAAAACTGTTGAACTCTCAGAGTGGACATCCATAACAGTACAATTTCCAAGTGTCCGTGAGCAAATATTTGGAGATGCTTTTGTTTTGGATATTAGCAACTGGTATTTGATTCCTAAGACACGTATTGGTTTTATGTACTACGGTATTATACTACTTGACAAGGTGCAAATATAAAAGTTAGTTGAGTATATTTGGGGCTTTGGTTGGGTCTATGTTAGGATTGAGGATCATGAGAGACAGGAAAAGGGTGTTAGACTGACATTTTATCTGATGGCTGCTTCGGATTGGAGTGATGTTTCTGTTTTCAGGTTGTTGGTTTTGGTGTCAGACTTATTTTAGTGCATTCTTATATTGTAATTTGATTTGTTTAGGCTGTCACCATTGAATTTGTTTGGTTTGATGTATTTCGGGGGCAGTGCTGTTTGTGTTTCTAAGGCTTTGGTTGGGTTTATGTAATTCTGGTTTTTGAGTTGATGTGTTGGTGTGTTACTGACATTTGGTTGAAAACTGTCATGTGATGCATTTCTTATGCCTTTTTTAATATATACTTCTTTTTGCCCTTTCAAAAAAAATATAGTGATTTACAAGTAACTGCAAACCAAAGCCGGTATTTTAAACCTCTAAACAAGTGGGTCAGGACTGACAAACTAATAGAGAAATTTAGCCCTCTGTATTTGATGTATTTTAAAAACCAAACAGATCGAATTACAAAACAAAATAGTGGTATAAGATTCTCAGGAAACAAAACAAAGTTAGTTCAACACATTTCTCAAACTTTGATGAGATTCTCCAGTAACAAATTTGGTATTTACAGCAACAAGTCTCATTAAGCACTTGTGTCCCAAACCCATAATTCCATCAAGATCTGAGAACACCGGTTACATTTGGCTTGTAATCAAGCATGCATCAGAAAAACTACTATATTCACACCAAAACATGTCATTCCCTAAGAAACACTTCAGCCTTAATCAACACTGAAGACAAAAAGAGCAAATAACTGTAACAGAAATTACAAAAATCTAAAGGAAGGTCTGCTAACTAAAGAGCCTTGTAAATACATGTTATGTGACTACCAGTCTTCTATGTCATCATCGGAAATCTCCATTGCTTCACCATCTAAACTCATTTTGTCAGTATCAAAATCTTCCATATCCAAGTTCTGTGCTGATTCCTGATCTAGTTCATTATATGCACTGCCAACCCTATTTCCAAGCAATTTAAACATAGGCATGTATTCTGTGGCCATAACTGACATATGATAAGAACTCAGCTGATTACAAGCCGGGATTCTCTGCCTAAACATCTCATTCTACAATAAAAGATCACAAATAGAAGTCAAATGTTAAGAGTAACGAGAGACATAAGCAATTTACAAGGTAATTGTTAATTATGAAACCAATTTACATTTGGCTACAAAATCCTTAACTGCATAATCATAGCCAAACTAGAAAATAAGATACTTGATTCTTTTAATGATAAGGCTACCCTTCTTACACTACCTACTCCCAATTATTGTAGCATAAAAACAGCATTAATCAAGGAAACCTATAACATATTCTCATGAATGCTCTCTAGAGTTCTTTTCTCTCTCTAAAGTTAAACTGAAATGCATCATTTAAAATTACCTACATGAAATAGAAATTGAAACATTGCAGGATAATAAAATATTACAGGAGGAGCCATAATGAGTTTTTACCTTGTGGTATGATGATTCTTTCTGAACCTGCCAGAGTTTTGGTCGTCGAATTGCATGCCACCTGTAAAAGCAAACTGATAAAAATATTACAAAGAAATATTAAATTTTGCTTTGCAGATAAGACTGCACGCATATAAGTGATTACCTGGAAGAAATTGGCTGAGAATTTCCAAACAGCACCCCACGAACAGCAATTGACGCAGCAGCTGACTGTAAAATACTCTCTGCCTCATTATGACTAGATAGCATACCCCGAAGCTTAGCAAGAAGAATGTCAGAATCACCTAGATATGAAGACAAAATCCATGCATCCTCTACTGCCTCATCATTCAAAAAATCTAGAACTGCAAGATATTAACAAGAATTAGAAAATCACTGTATTGCATTTAGTAAAATTTTAAAAACAACAAAAATATCTTCACTGTAATCAATTTTTCACAAAGAAAACTAACAGCAGGTTGAAAGGAAATACCATTTTCATGCAGAAAATCAGCAACTGGACCAGGTTGCACATGGCTTTGAGAAAGAATCTTCTCTGGGACATCCATTTTTAAAGGTAATCTTGAAAAAATTTCTTGCATGAGAAAGCCATTTTGGTCTAGAAGAGAATGAACTAGTTAAAATGGTGCAGGATAAAATTATCTTAATATTCAACATACACTTATTTCAACTGCTGTTTCCCCCCACAGAAAGAGAATATATGAAATTTAAATTTGACTAAATTATTTATGAACCAGTACCATATTCTGCTGCAACTCCAGTCTCCCTCTTATTATGCAAAAATTTCCCTAAGGCGTGAAATAAAGATACTGTCTCATCTCTTCCAAAGTACAAGGGAGATCCATCATCTAACTCAACAGGTTTATTACTTTTCTCTTTTAATGCGTGAGGAGTGCGAGTTGGTAAAGACAAAGAATGCACTTGATCTGGGTTCACACAGAAAAACTGTAGAGAAGTAATTGCATGTCTAATGTCACCTCCACTTGCTTTTGCTATTAGATCAACATGTTCAGCAGTCACATCACACTGCTCATTTTGACATATTCTAAAAAGTACCTTCTTAATAGAATTAACTGTAATTGGATTGAATGTGACCTGAAAGTTTCACCAATTAAATTTAGTTATAAGTATTCTATTATAACATGGAATTGAAAACCACGAGAATTCTTCAAGGTAGTAGTAACCTTACAAGCCCCAGAACGTTCTAGAGATATTTTAAGTTCTTCAACGGATCGTGCATTATAATCAGCTGAATCAGTATTGCCATAATCTGTCACCAATATGGCTGTGGGTATCTGAGTTGTGTGCACCAAAAGGTGCAAGCAATCTTTAAGCCTTCCTAAAGCAGCTTTACTATGCATCATGGGAAGATCGTCTATTAAAAATATGACGGAAGGCTTTGATTCCCCGGTAAAGGAAGTTGGTATTAATCCATATTTCCGTATTCTCTCAACAAAACTAACAAATTCATCCAACTTGGAAGTGTATTTGGTCGCTGTCAATCAATCAAAAAATTTATAAGAAATAAACAGTTACGACTCACAACAAGGAAGTTACAAATTTCGATTATTCAGGTTTCCTACAAAAATTATTTTATGCATTTTCCCATTTGGACTGTAAACACAATGGACGTAATCTACTCATTTGGACAATAAATCCTCAAGGACTCTCATCATTTAACAGTAAAAACAGATTATTCAATAGGAAGGCCTAAGGGGACGAGAGTGAAGTTTGTCATAACTATTTCATCAAGAGCATACAGGTGTTGCTCACCTGTTCCAGAGTTATAAAGATGCTCTTGCCAAATTACAGGTGTAGGTGTGTTCCATCCACATACCATTGCACCCAAATGAGAAGCAATTACATGAATAGCAGCCTACGCAATCAAAAGAAGAAATTCTTCAATGTCAATCAATGGGTATTCCAAACAAAGTAAAGTATGTTCAGGTGTGGTTCTTTGTGACAATGTTATAACTAAAAAGCCTTTTAAACAATTTTTTAGATAAAGCAGAGTCTACAAAAGTGAAAAGTAGAAATTCTAGGATGACTGAATCAAAATTTGTGTGAAAGAAACTAAGAATAAAAATATAGAAGCATCTACAACCGGAGATAAAAGGAAAATTACTGACATCAAGCCACATGATCTTGAAGGTACCGATTATTATCATTTCTAAATTGTCCTGTGTGACTGTGCTAGCACATGAAAAAAGGGTAATGGTGTTAACAGTTTAGAAGACAATGGAAGACAAACATACAGATTTTCCAACTCCTGCCTGCCCACTGACAACAAGAACATTATTTCTGTAGACACCCTGTAACAAAGGATGGGAAAAATAAGCTCACATTACACACATAGTGCAGGGAAAGACTTGCATTCACTTATATCAGATAACCTTACGCGGAGAGAAAATTTTCTCTAGAAATTTCAACTCCATAAATAACCAAATACTAGGGAGTTGGGAGAATTAGTAAACCAACAACTAATAAATGACGATGTTCTCTTCTTACAGAGACATGAAAAATTATCCTGCCTACTTTGTTGTAAACAGATGTTTACTTCTTATAATAGTTGTAATAATGTTTATACAATGATAGTGCTCACAGCCTCACACATCATGCCAAAATAAGAGCATGGGGGAAGCTAATAATAGAAAAATGAAGAATCTATTGCCTAAGAATCAAAATCTTTTTTATATAATAACAACATAATATTAAAGATAGTTAACAAAATCTTCCACAACAACATTGGAAATCAAAGAACCAAACATTCTTATAAATTGATAATTCGGCCATGATATAGCTTATCATTAATTTGTCTAAACATTATTTTGCATGTCTGTAAATATAGGTGAATAGCAATCTCTAGAAGGATATAAATTCTATAATGGGTGAAAACCAAATGGAATAATCATCATAAGACACAAACAAATTGATTAAATTTATATAATACTTTTCCTATATCGATTACCTTTGAAGGTTTCAACCTTTCTTCAAACCAAGTCTTAACTTCTTCAACCTGCAAATGCAACAAACAGGGAAAAGTGAAAACAGGATAGCATTCATATAACCAGTATCAAGAACTTAAGGAAGAGATATTTGACTTTTTTCTTGTGAACAGAAAGCTCTTCCAGTGAATGTGGCTTGTATTTATCAACCCATAGCTCCTCCGCAATGTTCTGTTGAGTACCTGGCACATCCATTCAGCACTTATGAATTGTGAGATCAAGGAACAAAGATAAAGATTCAGAGGCACAATAATGACTGGAGGAAACAGCATAATGTAAGCTTTCAAATTTAGTTTAAAAAGTTGCTTAACGACTTAGGCCTGTTTTGCAAATCTTAGGCTTTCAACAATCATTATGGCCATTGAAATACTACATATTCAGTCATAATAGCCAGTAATAACAAACTGAAAAGGAACCATTGAAATACTACATATTCTATCTTTCCAAAATATCCTTCATTCTCTCCCGTGTTACATTGAAGCGTCAAATGCGGACACTTCTCTCCAGCAATGACTTTCTATGTGCTTAAATCAAGGGATTGAATGGAAGTGTTGGGTTGGTGGTGACTTAAGGTGTAGTAATGGTAATTGGATTTGAGGCTTCTCCAAGCTCTTGGGCTCTTGCAGTGCTTATGTGGCAGAGTTATGGAGCGTGTGAGAAGGTTTGGAGTTGGCTCGTTCTCGAGGTTTTATCAAGATAGAGCTTCTGTAGATTTCAAGGTGGTGGATAGATACTTCTTTAAATTGTCAGTCTACCGAGCAAATCTGTGTGAATGATATGGCAAATGTGGGTTGTGAAGGTGGCTTGCCTTTGATTATTTATGAGCTTTGTCCAACTCAATTTAGGCACTTGATGTTATATTTGTTTGGCTCAAAATCACATGTTTAAGAGACCTGAGTTCAATGCCACTTAGGAATGAAGTCCAAAAAAAGAATTAAAAAAACAAAACAATAAGATCTGTGATGGCAAACTGAAACTAAGTAGAACGGAAAAAAGAAGACAAATTAAAGGCTGTGAAGTATGAATAAAGAGCACAACACAAAGGTATGAAATGTTTGACATCGCAGCCAAAACCACTTGAACACCCCTTAAATACCAATGCGAAAAAAATTTGCTCTCACATCAAATGTTTTGTAATGTGTGTAGCAGTATACCGACACAGAAATAAAATAATCTAAGCCATGCTATATGCATCAACAAAGGGCTTGCCGAATGCTATGGTATAATGCCAGATAACTGTGAACAGTGGCCAGATATGAAGGAAGGTGCCATGATTTATGTTTGAACCAACATTCATTCCACAAGAACTCTATAGACACTTACTGTAGAATTTTTAACGGTAAACCAAACTTACATTTAGTTGTTTAAGTAAGAGCGAGAAATCAAAAAAGGTTTATCTCCAAAATGAGGAGAAATTGCAAAAATACCTTAAACCCTAAACGCTAGGCAGAGAGGTGAAAAGGGTATTTTCCATGAACTATCAGTCAACATAGCCACTACTCTTAATATATGAAGCACTGACACCCCGAACACGACACCGACACTGATAATAATTTGAAAAAAATGAAAAAATTAATCGTCATAAAAAGTGTCAGTGTCGACATAGAAACAGACACGCGGACCAGACACATACACGCCTTTTTTTAGAGGTGTTGATGCTACATAGCTCTTAATAGTAAATAATCCTTACTAATTATATACTTGATAACAAAGTTCCCAAGTTCATATAAAAGCAAAGATGCATGTTAAACAAAAAAAACACAGAACCGGCATACCAGCGAATACCTTTGACCTAGTAAACACTTCATTGAAATCATCATCAAACAAGTTTATCTGCAATAAAACAAAATCACACATCATACGATATTCTCCCCTTTTAGTCATATTCAAAAAATGCAGTTAGAACTAAGGTATCAAACACATCACACAAATGGTAGTAACTACCAATCAAAAACAGCGACGATTCAACAAATCGAATAACTAAAGCCAGTGGATCGATACCTCATGAAGCTTAGATAGACGAGGCCCGGAACTGGAAACACGGGCTTTCTTTCTTCCTCTGGAGCCCGATGAACTCGCCTTGGGCTTGGGCTTTGTGCGGGTCGAACTATATGAACGAGTTTTGGGAGTTTCTTGTTCCTCATCCGATGAGAGAACAATGACGGAGTTTCGCTTTGGCATTATTCTATAACCGTTTTTACAATAAGAGTAAAGTAAAGTTACGCGCGAAATTTGAGATGATTCTTCGTGTTAGGTTAGATTTATGAACCCCATGGATTGCTCGACGGGGTTGGCATGGCCGTGGAAGTGAAATCAGAGTGAGAAACCCCACATGGCGGGGTTTGAAGGGCAAAATGAGAAAGTAATTGTGTTTTTGGTGGGAATGGGAAATGGCTTAGAGGAGAAGCCTTCGGCATGGATGGTGGGTCCCTCCTATTGGGCCTTATGGTAACTCCTCGGCCCATCATCGGCCTAATTTCCAAAAGTCACATCGATAATGAATCTTAAGAAAAGAGAATTGCTAACCTCACCTTATATGGTGGAAAAGAACCACTTAAAATTTTGAAATTGTCTCTCGGATGTCAAATACATCTTCGGATTGGGATGTATCATATGTCTCACCAAAACACATCAATTTGAGTTGAACGAATGTATTTTCAAAAATTATTTTAGAGATATATCTTCATGTACACTCATGCATTACTTAGTGAAACGTTTTTTTTTTGACAAATTATTTCGGTTACGACTCTTTGTATTCACATCAGACATAGTCCGAAAATGCATCTTTGGAATTACACCAGTTAGTCATTTTGGACTTTGATTTAGAGGTGTTCTGATGAATTTGACCATATATTACGATTATCATTTTCAATTTTGTATAAATTAAACCACACTTTACTTTCTGAATAATATGAAGTCAAAATGACATATAAAAGTTAATAAATATGGAGTACACAATGTATACAAAATAAAATACAACTGATAATAGTGCTCCTAATATAAATACAAAATACTATTGTGTATGACGGACTACGGTCTTTCGTTCCTACGCTACCTCTCGTGCCTCCTCCATCGTGGCATCTAGAATTTCTCTCACCTCAAAGCCATCCGGAAATAGTCATATGTTTATATCTGTCTACCCAATCTTCGCGATACAACGACATCTAGGCCACAATTCAACAGCATGATCTGCCACAAGCTTGTTCATCCTCAAGTATCTTTTGATGAGTTGGCCTAAGTGTATCTCCCGGAGCATATAATATCATATAAGGGTGACACCCTAACATACCATAGGATATAACCATGTACATCACTCCAGTCTTTTGGATCTATGGTACTGTGTGCATCATATGGTACCATATGATAAAGATAATCATCAAACATAATATCCATATCATGACATGTCATAGCAAGAGGACCAGACTGTGAAGGGTCTCTAGAAACAAGTTGCATGTAGACGAACTGTCATATGACGCGCTCGGTAGATGAGAATACGTCAAATGTGATCCGCAGGCTAACCAATCAGAGTAGAAGGTGATGTCATCTAGGGGACGTGTCTCATTGTGATTGACGTATGTGTTAAAGTGTATATACTCTGCTACCATGCGATCAAGATACACTTTATATGGAGTCCTCGCCTAGTTCCCTCTGAGTGGGACGAATGTAGAGCATGTGGCATATCCTCGATGTAGGTTGGCACACATAACCATCTGAATATGTGTGGGAAGTATTGGAGAATCCAAGCTTGGAAATGGTACATATGAATTGTGATGCCCGTAATTTAATTAATCATTTAATTAAATTATTTTTGAAATATTTGTGAAGTTGCGTGGTGATTAATTGGATTTATTTATTCTATTAAGTGGTGAAATAATATTAGAAGTATAATATTATTTGATGTGGGCTTGTTTTAAAGGAATAGAAGTAATAAGAGGGTGTATTAGTTTTAATCCCAATAAGGAGTAATGAGAATAATAGGTTATTTTATTATTGTTAGAAAGAAGGAGCAGTAGAAGAATAAGGGTTGGAAAGAAGAACGTGAAGCTGTTGGAAAAGAGGAAGAACGGCAAAACGGAAATTCAATCGGAGATTATAGAGCGACCTTCAATCCAAGGTAAGGGTGGGGTTCTGACTCTATAATTGGGTTCGTAATAATTGGTATGTGGGGTTAGAGGTGAAATGTTGTTTTGTTCATAATTGAATTATATATGATGTTGTATGACGAGAATTGATGATTGAAAGACGAACGATGATGTCCCGATGTTGTTTAATTGATGTAGAATTATAGGATAACTGTAAGTGATGATTATCTATGATTAGATTAAGTTTTTAGGGCTTAAAGTATAGAACTCGTAGTGAAAACACAGAGAAAATCGCAGAGATTATGCAGAATAAAGCAGTATGCATCAATCCCAAACTTGATGTGTCAATACATGAGGACTTTTAGACTCGGGATGAGTCGATACGTAGGAGCATGTGTTGATACATGTTGTGTGGTAGACTCAGTATGAGTAGATATAAGAGAGGATTCATCGACTCATGTTGCAAGTTTAGTGCAGTACGCGTTTATCCAAGACGTTATGCATCGATCCATGTTGTCTGGTTTTTGGCAGAATCAGTTTGAGAATGCTGTAACTTGAGTTTTCGGATTCCGTTTAAGGTACAGTTCGAAGTGTTGAATAGCTAACGCAACGAACTTCATTATTAAGGATTAAAATGAGGAATAGGAAGGATAATCATCGTATCAAAATTAGGACTTGAATTAGTTTTCATGTTGATCGTTGTGTTGGTCTTTGTGAAGAAGGATGAGGATGAGACGTTTATAGATTATTGTCTGGGTTGTAACAGTATGACTAAAGATGATAATGATATAATATTACAGAATAGTAGTATGTAGAGATATGGTTATTTAGAAGTAAGCCTTAGTTGATTAACTAATTATAGGAAATATCTTGTATAGGCCTATGGCCAACGTTGTGAAATTGATGAGTTACTGTCGTATTACTATACAGCTGAGTTGTTGATGAGATGATATTAATGAGATTGTGTTTGATAATTTATGATGATAATTTATGATGATAAATGATGATGATAAATAATGTCGATGAATGATGTTGATGAAGAGATGTTGATATGCTTATAAGATGTAGGCCTTTGGCCAACGATGGTGTTGTATTGAGATGTTGTCAATCATGGTGTTGTTATTACATTCATGATTGTGTCGCACACATTGCATTTTGAGATGGAGCTTATGCTCGTTGAGATGGCATGTATGAGCGAATATTGAGATGAAGGCTTATGCCTTGTTGATGTCTCTATTAATTGGAAATTTTTGAGGTGGGAGTTCTGCTCCAAATGGTACCACATGCATTTGCATAGTATTGAGTTGCATTATATGATTGCATAAAGAAGTGTGTTTTGATGTGGTGAATGTGTATTATTGTTGTGATTATTGTTGACTATGAGATGAGAAGTGGTGATGATATGTGATCTAATTTAATATATTAATTATCATGCGCTTTATTACAATATTAGATATCTCACCCCTTCTGTTTGAATGTTACCCTTACATTGGTAACGTGCAGGTAATCGAGAGTGAAGGTCGTATACTTTCAGTAGTTCGAGTCGGTGTCATTACTCTGATATGTAACACTCGGGGGGATGAACGCTTGTTGCTTTTGATTGTTGATTATTCAGTTGTTGAACTTTAAGTTGATTATTATTGAATATGTGTTGTTTTGAAGCTGTTGTAATGATGATAAAGATGTTATTAAGAATTCCGCTACGTAGATGTTTGAATTGTTGAATTAAGAGATTTAATTGTTATGATGATGGTTCGTCCAATGTTTTAAAGTGTTACGCATCCACGATGAATGCAATGTGTTTTGAAAGAATAATTTGTGGCATCCTGATTCGTTTGCATGATTGATTTTATAACTTTGATTTAATTATATAATTGCCGGGTAGAATTGGGGTGTTACATGAATCATTAGTAAAAGATGCAGAAATGGACGTAGAAAAAAGTGTTACGAAAATGACACTAAATGATGCATAAATATTACTACCATTAACAATGTGATGTTGCCTGACACTTGTTTTGTATTCCACATACAACATTCGGCTAACTTGGATTACATGTAAACCAAATAAGCGGCCCCTAATTGTACTAATGGATCTTGTAACACCCCAAACTACTCGGCGAATAATAAACAAATATCAGAGTAATTTGAAAATAATTTAACAAGCGTTTAGGATGCTACATCTACACAAAATAAAAAATAAAATACTCATATTAAGTACAAGATACATAACACAAATGACAGGTGAACTAAAATATCAAATCATAGTCTTCAACGTTAACTTTTATTAATGCAGCAGAAAAAAATCATACTTGAAGTCCAACAATCTTTGCAAAATAAATCAACATGTATTCAAAATTCATAAATAGTTCTTAAGACTCCAAACAATTACTAAGACAACAAAATAAATAGTATTCATCCCCTTGGTGTTACGTATCAGAGCAAAGACACCTACTCAAAAGTAAATTAAGAGCAACATCTTTTGATTCTTGCAGCCTTAGACTACTCTTGACTATCTGTATGATATTGTATAAAGCATCATTTCAAAAGAAGGGTTAGATATCACAACAATATAAGAGAATGTATAATAATAAGTATACAAAGAACATAATCATGCATAGTCATACAGTCCACGTCTCACACATTCACACCATCAACAACAACTACATCACATTTTGATCATACAATCACACATAATCATCCATACATATCAACCACTATCATGTAGTACATAAATCAATCACACAACTCAAACATCATGTTAACAATAATGCAATACAATGTAATGAGATTGACTCAAAGACTCAATGTACGTGGTACCAATATTTCTCTTGAATCCACGACATCTAGAACCAGAGCCACCAATATCGTGAACAATTTGGTTCACCTTGCTCCCGATCCATGCCATCTAGGATCATAGCCAACCCACATCATGAACGATGAGATTCACATCGCTCTTGATCCATGCCATCTAGGATCAGAGCCAACAAACAGGACTAAAGTCCACGACCTACAATGCATGTGACACAACCATGTAAGAAAACACAACACATTAATATATACGTCCATCAATGTGACACACCAATACGGCCACCATCTGCC